CGGAGCGCAGGGTGCACGCGCGCACGCGCGGAGGCGGAGCGGGTCTCGGCTGCGCACGCCCGAGCCAGTGTCTGTCTCTCACGCTCTCATTCATTCTCTGTCCACCGCTCGCCCGCTCAGCTAGCTGTGTCGTCCGGGCTGGTTTCAGGGTTCTGCTTTTTCCGAGTTGCTGCGCGCGACTCGGAGCTGTGTGTCTTCTCTGCCTGCTAGGTGGCACCCTCTTGTGTCGGTGTCAGAGTGCCCAGCACCGTGCCGTCCCGCTGCGCCCCGTCCTCCCACCAGGTCAGATCGTTCCTGCCCGGTCTCCTTTTGACCAGAAAAGGGTATCGTGTTAAATTTGCACACTCCGCAGGGATGAAGGTAGCCCATAGTAATCAAAGACACACTGACTCAGAGACACCACCTTTGTCCTCAGTGAATGTCGAGCGCTCTGATGTTTGTCTGCAAGGCTTGCGGCATTTCAAACGGCGCTTAAGTCTGTCCTTAGGAAAAGGCCACTAGTTCCTGAGCAAATGTAAAGGAAACAAAGGCAGTTTCCGTTTAAGCAGAAAGCAGCATCAGAAGGCTTACCCGTGCCAGCGCCCTCCATTCCCCCTGCCATCGTGAAATGAGTGGGGTCCCCTTGGAGATCACCGACTCATTACTTTTCCATCAGGCCTGCCTGGTGACCGGCTGTGTGCTAATTGCTGAGGATTCAGAAGTCTGTCCTGTAGGACTAGTTTAGTATATGTGGATTGTAATAAACCATGGGAAACACAGGATTATAATAAACGATGGGAAACTATAGGAGTTGTATTTAAAACCTCTTGGAGTGATGGTGGTCAGAGAAGGCCTGAGAAGTAGTTTTTGCCTGGCAAAACTATTAATAAAAGCCTACCCGTATTGAATGTAGGAATTAGATTTTAAAAGGTGCCTAGAAATTAGCCGGGGGAAGGATGATGTACTGAAACATGACAAAGACTCCTGCCCATGAAACAGCTGGAGGATGCTTTTCTTTGGGCATGCTGAGCTACGTGGGAAAGGCGGAAATTAGGCCGGAGGGACCGGAAGGGGCTGCATCATGAGGAGCCCTGGAGGCTGCTGCCCATCCAGACTCCAGGAGTCAAAGGACTGTAAATGTCTGGTGCCCAAAGAGGGCAAAACCAAAATAGTGTGTTCAGGTAAAGTTGTTAAAGTTGATCAGGGTTGTCCAGTTTTCTTCTGGCTCGGATTCTTCAAGTCCCAACTTTGTAAAATTCTGTTAGTTAAAATTTCTTGAACAGATCAATCTTAGGCATGTGTCACAGTTTAAAAGTTCATGAAGGAGGGAAATAGAATAGTGCTGATGCAAAGTACCTTGGATGCGCACATGCAGAACCTTCTCACTTTGCAGTCCGTGCTGTAAAGAATGCTTCTATATCATATGTCTCATAAAAATGTCTGTTTTTCTAGTTGATGTGTGAAAATCTGGGAGTTCAGCAATTGTCAGGCAAAAACCATTCATCAGAAGTAACAAGTAATACATGTTTATCGGAGAAATAAACAGTGATCAATACATTTATGACTTTACCAGACATACCCAGTAGCAACAGATACTATATTAGGGACTGATACACTTGCTGGACAACAAGTTTCACCCCCGTATTGTAAGACAGGAGTCAATTTAATTTAGGAAGTATTAAGTGGAAGTCAGTTGAAAAAGACCTTTTTTTCTAGCAGTGGGTACGTAGCACATTTTCAAGTATGCAATCAAAATTCCCATTGCTCTTGTGTGTTTATGGACAATATTTTTGTTCCTTAAAATGCAGAAGGCCTGGGTTGTTGGGAGTCCTAGAGAGAAGTGGCACACAGAGTATAGGTGGCAAGGCTGTTGTGCATATATACGTTTGTGCACGCATATACGCATGCGTGCATGTTTGTGTGTGTGTAAGTGCATGTGAGTGTGTTTGACATGGGGGTAGGATGGAGATTGTAGCTGCAAAAGATAAAAACGCTGCAAAGCCCTCCCTTCAGAGGCATCATCCCTTGATTCTGGAGATGTGCAGAACTCCTGTTTTCTTCAAATATATTCTGCATCTCCCACCCCTGCCTAGGATAGCCAGCTAGAGCCTAGGCCAGTGGCGGCAAACCTATGGCACGTGTGCGACAGTGGGCTGTTCATGTCATTGAAAGCTCCAAAAGGTTTGCCATCGCTGGTCTCGGTCTTAGTGTCCTCTCCACATGGGTGGAGAAGGAAGACAGTGTACGTTAGTGTACAGAGCATCTGCCTTGGCTTCTCTGTGTCTCCAGTTTTCTTACATTATAAAAATAACGTTTACCTTACCTCACAGAGGAGTTGTGACAATCAGGCCAGATGAGATAAAGTTTATGAATATACTCTGTGAACTGTAGAATATTATACAGATGCAAGGTTTTACTCAGGTATAGTTCCACAGAAAGATTTTCATAAAACAGTAGATTTAGTTTACCTGCATGAATGGATTCATTTTGGGTTGTGGTTAAAAATGACTTTCACAGAGTTTCCGTACTCCATAGGAAGCAAAAACAAGGCATTTCCATTTGTGGTCCTGTAATTCTAAGTCCTTGTATGGAACATCACTCAGCAGGCGTTTTGCCCAGCTTTAGCCGGTGAAATCCCACTTCTCAAAATGTGGTCCTTGAAACAGTAGTGAATGCGTTAGGGGGGAATTTGTTACAAACCCAGAATTTGTAGCCAGGCCTTCTGAGTCAGAAATTGCAATTTAGGATTCATACTTAGGTGATTCATGCAAACATTAAACGCAGGTAGACAGAGCTACTGCTTTTCATATCTAAGTGTGCATAAGGATTGTCTAGGCTTCAGAGATTTTGATTCTCTCAAGTCGGATATAGTTCATCAATTTATTTTACTTGTTTTTATTTATTTTTTTGAGACAAAATCTCAAACTCTTGGGCTCAAGTGATCTTCTGCCTCAGCCTGTGTGGTAGCTGGGACCACAAGTATGTTCTGCCAGGCCTGGCAGGAATCCACATTTTAAATAGAGGCTTTAGCTGATCCAGCAGTCCCAGGACTACACTTTGAGAAACAAGGAACTGTGCCATAAAGATGTTGATCTCTATGGCTTAATTGTGAGTTTTAGCAGAATCTCAGAGAATTTCTCATTCTGCTACTATAACCTCAATTTGAGTTCTCAAAGTTAAACCCATTAGTCCTGAAAAAAATTCATTTTCACGCTTTGCTTTTCCATCAGTAAGCAGTTACCCACTCAATTCATGAGATTTTCAGGGCATTCTCTGTGCTTTTTGCTTCATCTCCTTGGGTACTCTTAAGGTTGTTCAAAATTAAGCAGCTAGTTTTAGTTTTAAGTTACAGTCACCAAGGGCCGGGGAAATAGCAGCACAGCACCTGCCTGGCAAGCACAAGGTCATGAGTTCAATTCCTGATACAAAAAAAAAAAAATAAAAAAAAAAAATAAATAAATAAAATAGTCACCTCAGGGTAAATATTTTGTTCCTTTAGAATATAAATGTGCACATTTAGCTGGTAGGCATGTAAATATGTATGCATCTCTCTAGTTTGTAGGCATATAAATGTACATATTGGCATAGCTCACATTTAAAAAAAAGGGTGCACAAAAGATACATCCTTATTTTTTATTTATTTTACTTTATACTCCAAATATCATGGATTATGAGCTATAAAAACTATATTAAAGGCACATTTATAGTTTGGAAATATTAGCTGACATTTACTTCTAAACATTTCTGGCCTTTCAAAATTTTTTTTTTTGAGACAGGGTCTCACTGTGTAGTTTAGGCTAACTTTGAACTCATTATGTAGCCCAAGCTGACCTCCATCTCATGGCAGTTCTCCTGCCTCAGCCTCCTGAGTGCTGGGGTTGTAGGCATGTCCTACCACGCCTGGCTTCTCAAAAACTTCTTCCCTCATAAGCCTAAGCCGGAGACTTAAAATGAACTTAAAATTATTATTACAATTACAATTAAAGAATTTTATTTTGTAGAAGGAGGAACATATCCAGAGATATGAAAGGACAGTTTTGGAGCCAGCATAAGAATTTATTTTCTGTAATTTCAAATTCCATTATTTCTTTATCTTTAATTATTGTTGTGTCATAGCCTACCCTGGACCCTTTTCTTGACATGTAGAAAATACAACACTTGGCAGAAGATTCTCCTCTTTGCACCTGCTAATTTCTTTGTTAGTGTAGGTTTGCTTTAGTTGGGGTTAGGTGTCCACTGGTAGTCTTTTGGGGTAGGAGAGGAAATTGGTAAGCTAAGAAAACTGTCCCACAGTCAGGATAGACATTTTAGGAAAAGAATGAAAAACCATCTCTCTTCTGTGTTTTCAGGAAATGCATTTAGAAGACGCCACCCGCTTCTGTCCGAAGGAAGAAAGAGAAAGTGAACAAACATCTTTCAGCGATCAAAATCCCAGGCAAGACCAGAAAGGGGGCTTTCGCAGCTCCTTCCGCAAGCTCTTTAAAAAGAAGTGAGTAGCCCTTAGACAAGACAGCATTGTAACTCATTTCCCTTTGGGCTAAGTCTTGAAGTTTTAACAGTGATAATAATCAAGTAACCTGGTCTCACATCACTGCTTCAAGTTCAGTGCCTGCACCCAGTAGCCTCGATGCCTGCGGGGTGAAGATTTTTCTCTTATAATCTCCCAGAGTAGAAGCAAACTCAGCTCTCCCCCCACCACTTCTGTCTTTCGTCCCTCCTTCCGTGTTCCCAAAGTTATGTGTATTGAGGAGTGGGCAGAGGAGGTCCCTTGGAGAATGAGCTGGAAGGGGTGGGATCTTCTATTGGAGTTGGCGTAATGGGTGCTGCGTGAGAATCTCTCCACCTATCCAAGGACATCTCAGCAGTGCTACCTTCCTGGGCATATATTTATCCTGGGGGTAGTTCGTGTTTATTGGGACTTCTGCTAGTGTTTTTCCTGAAAGAATGGATTTGACTTAGGTCCTATTTAAAAATCACCTGAAGGGAGTGTCTGTACTCTATATGCGGCAAAAACAAGGTGTTCACTTCCTTTGCCCTTCTGTCAGTCTGTGACTTGGTTGTATGCGGCAGTGCCCCTCGGGCATTTTGGACTGTGCTCTGTTATAGTCTGGCGGGCAGGGCAGAGCTGTGCACTCACATTGACCGTGGAGGGACTGGCTAGTTGAGTCACTGCCCGCGGGTGACCGCTGGTCCGCGGGCCTGCCTCTCTTGGCTGAGGTTGCTCTCCCTGCTGGCGTACTTAGCCTCTTTTGCTGGAGGTTCTTGCAGTCAGTTTTAAGTAACAAGTCTTCGTACAGTGGGTAGAAAAGTTAAACAAAGGCTTATGGCTGTCTTTAGAGCGTTTCTGAGAAATCACTTTCTTCTTAAAAGCAAAGGTTATTGCTGATGGAGACGAAGGTTCCGGAAGAAGCGAGGGCGAGGCTGGGTGTGGAGTTTGGTGTGTTTCGTTGTGCAGCTTGTCTGATCTCCTCCCGCGGGGAGGGTGGTGCTAAGGGTAGGGGGTCTTGCGTTGTGGGTCCTTTGGCTGTCGTGACTGGAAGAGGGGAGAGGAAGGGAGAGCACAGCTGTGCAGCTCGCCTCTGCCTTTCCGTTTCGCTAGGCAGCTCACGCATGCGTGACTACTGCTGGATCTTCAAGCGGTTCTATTCAGGGGTTGAGGAGTCATGAATTGGATCATAGACTTTCTAGGATCATAGACTTAGATCTTTCTTGGCCTAGTGCCTACTTCTGTCAAGTTTTAAAGGGGTGGGAGGACCTAGAAGCAGAGAACCTTCCAGTCTGAACTTGGGATTTAGGCTCCTAAATTCTTCTAAGGACTCCAGAACTTTTTGTTTGTTTTGGGAATCCAACTCAGGACCTTGTGCTTGCCAGGCAGGCGCTGTGCTGCTGAGCTGTCTCCCTGCAGGACTCCACACTTCTAAGGCACTACTTGAGTCTCGTTTTTTTGAAGCATGGTATTTCCAAATCAGCCACTTTTTGCCCACTACCCCTCCTAAGGACTGGGTACTACGGGAAAAGAGTGAGCGATAGCTCTACCACTGGTTCCTTTGCAAATTCCTGTTTGGGTCTCGGGGTAAAACTTAGAGGAAGGGTGCTTAGCTAACCTGCTTAAAGCCCTGGGTTTGAGCCCCAGCACTGTGTAAAAAAAGAAAGAAAAGTCTTGTTTATCAGAGATGTAAACACATGCTCTGCCAGTTACGTGAGGCAGAAGGAGCAGGCTTGTCTCCTGTGTCCAGAGAGGAGAGCCGATGCATGCAGAGTGTTGGAATTGGCACTGTTGGCCTCATGCAAAAGTGGATTTTTGTAGTAGAAATTAGGTGACTGTGGCAGGGATGCTGTAAAAGACTCCTGCGCTGGGTGGAGACTGCTAAAGAAATCGCTGAAGTCCGTTGCAGTGTGGACAGTTGCTTTATCTGTAGTTTGACTTCGTTGTAACTGAGTGAGCACATCTCCCGTGTCACCTGCAACAAGCAATGACCGAGGCCTTGGAAGTGGCATGTTAGAGACCCACCACGTAGAAGGTCAGCTTTTCTTTTTCCACAGCCCTCTCTCCCTGCCAGAGCTTGGTAAAATGCAGAGAGGACTTGCTGTGAGATCTCCCAATTCATGTCAGGTGATTGTTTTTGGTCCTCTTGCAGCGTTTGGGGATTTTCCTCAGAGAAAGGAGTGTGGATTTCCATAGTCTTCTGTCCTTTCTCAGAGATCCATCTGTGTCAGTCGTATTGCTGTCAGCAGTACTGGCGCTTCCCTTTGTATGTGAAATCTGAAGTGTTCCCTGAGCCGAAAGCGGGGCCACGAGACGAGCCTGCCTTTGGCAGGCTTCCTTTGCTTCGCTGAGCTGGCCTCCCACAGGCCGCGCTGTTGGGCAGCGCCTGCCGTGGCTTTACGCTTAGGGTACTGGGGCTGTGACTCGGGAAGAGTGCCGTGGGGGCTTATCATGGGGTAAAGAAGCAGTTTAAGTAGCTTACCCTGGGTGTTTTCATCTGAAAACCATGGCAAATTCATAATAGACCTCGCTGCAATATGATTCTGTAGAGAGGAAGGGTAGGGAAGACCCCTTCATAGTGCAGGAGAGCCAGTTCTTCCGTGCGTGCACTATTCCGGGTACTTGTTGGAGATCATGAGTGACGTGGTCCAGCCATTGTACAGGAGTGTACTCTGCAGTCAGGTGTATGTACAGGTAGAGGAAGGAGCCGAGAAGAGATGCTCAGCCCGTCCTCCTTCCGTGGGCCAGGAAGGCAGACCGACAGCAAGCTCAGTGAATTCAAGAAGGGGCCGGACCTGGGTACCAGAACCGCTCCGGAGCCTGGCCTCACAGTTCCAGACGGGTCAGGGCCACAAGAGCTGCCTGTGTCATGTCTGGGGCTCACCGCCTTTCCTCCCTGCAGCCCTCTGGAGGCTCACTCCTGTCTACACTGACACACTTTTTGTTCCATAGGGGCTTGTTTGGCTGGTGGCCCCACACACCCAGAATGCTGCTTCGGGATGAAGCTAGGCATGGAGCCAGATGCAGCAGAAAACCCGAGAAAGGGTTCTCTTCCCTCTGAGGCTGGGAGGGCCGAATGTTCATACCCACAAGGATTCAAAAGGGAGAGTCAAGTTGCCATCATAAAAAAAAATCCTGAAAAAGCCCACGATATTTGGGGAAAAGGGTGACCCTCTGATTGTTTCTGTCCCAGGCTCATTTATCCTGGGTAGATACCAAGACACGTGTCCCTAAAAGCTATCAACAACTGATCAGAATAAAGTCTACATATTTTAAAGTTTGAAAATGTTAAGTGACTTGAAACATTTTAAATGGAGATTCCTAGAAGCCAGGAACACACCTAATGTGAAAAGCTGACGCTGGACTAATTCCCTTGCCTATGAGCAGGGTGGAAGGCAAACTGTCCCTTCTAGAGGGATCTATATGGAGACTGTGAAACACCTAAACCTAGATTATTCTGAAGGCTGAGGCAGACTCTTCTTTATATGTAAACCTTGCGTTTGGGTAACGTGTGTTTTTGGTTGGGAGCGTGGTGGTGGAGACGAGGACTTCGTGAGACAGTTCAGGGACGAGAATGTAGACGGTGCTCTCTCTTTTCATCCCCAGTTCGGGGAAGGGGGAGACTAAGAACACAGCATCCAAACGCCCATTCTCCTTCTGTTTAGCAGTTTGTAATGTCTATGCCTCAAGAGTATTTCCATTCCCGCCCTCCCCTCCGTCAGTCGTACCAAGTTCCATTTTCTGAGTCACACACTGCAAAAGTACGTTCCCAGGGATCCATATAATTACATGTCAGTGAGTTCTCTTTTTGGGTGTCTCCTCAACGATTTTTGTGTATGCCCAGCCTTCACCGTGAGGCAGACGTGTAACAGAAAGAGGACTGATGAATCAGTTGGTGATTTTACCCTCCGTTCCTCTCTGCCTCCGTAAAGCCCGCCTCAAGCCCCTCCTCCGTGCTTACCTATTTCATAGCTCATTTCCTGTATGCCTTTAAAACCGAAGGGGAGAGTTGGAGGGATAACCATCTCATAGTACTTCATCTTGATTATACGTGTTCACAGATGATTGGGATCAGTCGTGCTGGGTCTTTAGTGTACTAGGTTCTGTCCAGTACAAAAAAAAAATAATAGTTTCTGTCCGTTAGGAGCTTACAGTTCAGAGTAAGGGTAATTCAGCTGCAATTTGTAGTACATAGCACATAGTAAGCACTCAACAAATACTTATTAAATGAATGTTCATTTGACGCTCTATTCAGTACAAAGGCCGACGGATGGCCAGAGGATAGGCGTCCGCCCTACACCCCTGATCTCTCCTCCCTGTGTGTGTCTCCTGAGGCTTTCAAGGAGGGTAGTCTTTCCCGTCAGAGAAGCAAGTCAAAGACTTCTGTGGTACTGTATTCCATTCCTCTCCCTTCCCTCCCTTGGACAAGCTTTCCAAGTTTATTTGTAGTAAATCCGTATCTGTTGACCTGTCTGACTTATGATTTTCTTTGTCTCTATCACTTGAATGGAAGGAAAATTAGCAACAAACCTGGTCCTTTTTCCTCTTCCCGTAAAACGCTGGGATTGCTGTGTGTCGGATTGTACTTGTAGCCACTGTCCCCTTCCCCAGGAGGTGTCTGCCTGACAGTCCCGATACTGTCAGCCCACGTCTGCCTTGCAGTCAGCCAGGATCGCCTTAGGAGCTTAAGAGCCATTGCCGTGTTTTATGGAGAAAGGGCATAAAAGCAAATACGCTGTGCCTTTCTCTTAGCAGTTCAGGTATGCATTGCTTGAGAGCCTCAGCCATATCTGTGGGAGAGTCCAGACACCTAGGTAGTCACGTATTATGTTAAGCGTTATAAAGAGATGGGTTCAATTTATTCTCAAAGAGAAGATAATGAGTTTTTAGTCAAGGCTACCGTAGAACGCTGAATGTTGAAAAGAATTAGTAAGTTAGACGTTAGTTAAAGAAATGCAGAGACATTCAGGTGCTGGAGACACAAGGAAGTTACAATTTGTGAAAAGAGCAGTTGAAAGAGAAAAAATAACTAAGCCGAGTCTGTGTGCTTTGAAAACTAGACAGGGCGATTTTGGCATTTGTTTCAGAAATGGGAACGCAGCTGGTGAAGATTTCTGTGGTCCCTGGGGCTGGTGGTGATACGAAAGCTTTCCCATTTCCAGGTAAACACCACACAGTTGCATGTTGGAACATCGGAGTGTAACGTTTGGGTTGTGGAGAGATCAGATGTAGGTAAGAGGGGAAACGTGAGGCGAAGATTTTAAACTTTGCTTAATAACTTTCTGTTGAGAAACTGTCATGGGGGGACAATTCAGCCGTCCAATTCAAATCCTATTCCCCACTTCCTGCCCCTGAAACTAAAGGCATTCCTAGTCTTCTGACTAACAGAAGATATCAGGAAAGGGTTAAGTGGTCCAGAACACATCTCTATAACATTTTGGGCACCACTCATCAGAAGTGATCCGAGTTGGAGTTAGGCAGGAGTTGTGAAAGATAAGAGAAGATCTGGAGTTTTAGGGAAGGGTGTGGAGAGTCTCTTATAGGAGAACTTCACCCCACCCTTATACCGTCTTCCTTGTTGAGCACCAGATGTAGTGGAGCTGAGACAGAACAGTTTTTTTTCTGTTTGCTGGGAAGCAGTGGAAAAATGCTCCTTACCAACTAGAAATAAAAGCGTGGTGGGCAGCTATGGCTTCATCTGTGATACCAAATATTAGGGTGAAAGTGGAAATAATCTAGTCAGTCAGTCAGGTGTCCAGGATAGCATAATAATTAGTCTTTGTGTGGATTCAGCTTCTTCCTTTGGGTAATGTAAAGGGATGTTTGAATTCTGCCCATTTAATTCAGCAAATGATAGTCAGATAGCTAAGAACAACAGTGAGGTCTCAGTGAGAGCGTATCAGTGACAGTGACCTACCTTGGAGGCCAGTTGTCCTGTGCGGATAGTGTAAACATGCCCAACTCAGCCTCAGCATAGGGAGATCTTGTTCAGTTTTGTAGGTACTTTGGACAAAAACTTACGTCTAGCATCACTTGCATACATCCTCCATGAGGTCTTTTGATATTGGTTCTCGGTTGCTGGGCTACTTTTACCCATTCTAGTTCAGAATTTAAGCTAGTGAAAAGGACTCAGTCTAGCTTATCAGAGGTTATTTCCAGAAAGCCTCCTCCCTCCAGGGACTTCTGACATGAACAAATTGGAGAAGGTGCAGAGCTGGAGTGGATTACCCAACTGGCTTACCCAAGATAAAGGAAGAATGCAGCCTCGACTGGGCACGCAAATGGACTGATTTGAGTTGTTGACTATTGGTTGGCTTTGGTCTCCTTTGTGGTGGTTGAGATTTTAGTATCTCCTCAATTTGATTACTGTACTTATTTTGCATTCTACTAAATGTAGCATATATGTGTGGTTGGTTCAATAAATCTTTCATTTTAAAATGAAAACAAGCAGAAGCAAGAGTTTGTAATGTAATGCCTAGATTGAGTAAAGGCCTTTGATAACGTTGGTGGAGAATAATGAGTTCTGTCCATTTTAATTGAAGGGCAATGGTAATTTGTGAATTAGTTTACTTCATTGAATCAACAACAGGATTTTTTGAATTTTCTAAGTTGTTATTCCCCTATTACAGTGTTACTACACAGTATCTTACACCGACATCTACAGTTGTCAAATTGTCTCATAAAGCATTAGAAAGATATTCTCTTTATGTTTACTACAAATCTTAGATACACATGTACTGAGTCTCGAAATGAGGGGAGTAAAAGTTATTCCAGTCTAGGAGGCAACTGTTTTACAAATGCAGAACAATTTGGATAGATAAAATATTTGAAAACAATTAAAACCAAATCAACCTGTACTTTATCTGTGTGCTGAGATTTTAGGTCCAGTGGATCAGAATACAGGGAAAAAACTAATGAGAACCCCTCAATGGATCCTTCACCCACCAAACAAGATTTCTTCAGAAACCGACTTGCTCTTGCAAATGACCTTGACCAAGGAACAGCTGTGTAAAACATACTTAAAGTTGTATTCTCAAGTGGTAAGATGAGGATAAAAAGCTTGTATATATCTGTGTAGGAATATATATATATA